TCCTCGCAGGTCACGCACAGCAGCCAGGTGTCTAGCACTGGTCCGAGCAGCAGCAGGTATAGGGGTGGCGGGGCACAGGGTGCGGAGGTGCCCAGGAATCAGGAGGCACAGGCCCGACCCAGGCACTTACCCTGTCTGCTGGGCCTAGAAGCACCAGCAGGTGGGCCATGGTGTGCAGCAAGGCGCTGGGGTAGCACAACTGACCAGTGGGGAAGCGAGCCGGGAGGGTGAGACCCTGCACGAGCTGGAGAACCAAGTGGCTTGGGCAGGGCCAGAATTCATACGCCCTCATTGGCCGTGCCCACCAACTCAATGGAGTCCAGAACTCATGCAGGGTGAGCAGGGTGGGAGCTGGAAACCCTGGCAGAGTGGGTGGGGCTGCAGACCCACGTCTTTTTGGCCTTGGCCTTGGAATTCTGCAGACAACCAGTGTACTGTCTACCAGCGCATCAGAGGTCAGCCCCACTTCAAGAGAGAGGACGTGGTAGAAAGTGGCAAAGCCACAGGAGGGATGGGAGATGTTGTGGCCATCTTTGGGAAACACAGCTGCCATGGTCTTCAGTAACTATGAACAGATTATAATCTTTGGTCTCCATTCTACAGAAGAGGAAGCTCAAATTCAAAGAAGGGAGCCTTTTGCAACACCTCACCCACTTCTCATACCTGACCCTGTGCAGCATTGTTTTCGTTGAAAGTAGAGAATCCAAAATATTTTTAGATCTTTGATATTTTAGGCAGGAAAGAATTTAGCACAGGGAATTACTGCTTGGGAAATCATCAGAAAGCTGGAGGAGTGGGTATTAGGCTGGGCCTCCAGGAAGACTCCTTGGCCAGCGGGAGGAGCTGCACCCTCAGCCACAACTGAATTCTAGGACACGCTGGCACGGTTGTGACCTGGGGATCCGGAAACTGCTGCCCCTGCAAGTGCCTTCCACCTCCCACAAAACAGGTCACTGGGTACTGCCTCTGCCACAACTGCCTGTGCACAGCCTGGATCCCGCTGCAGAAAACCTCCACATCTCTGCGAACATGATCACCAGCAGCAAATAGCCCAAACTGCGGGAAGATGCCTCGGCCCCACTTCTGCCTTCAAAATATTGTGCAAGCGCATCCAATCAGCAGAAATGAATTCATATCCAGAAACCTAGCTGCAAAGGGATTTGGGCAATTTCAGACTTTCGTTTAGGAGTGAGATCTTGCCAATGTACCTCATGTGCCTGGTATTTATAAAAATGGGGGCCAGCTGGTGGGCCTCAGTGGTTGAACATTGATTTATGAACCAGGAGGTCATGATTTGATTCCCGGTCAGGTTTCAGGCTTGATCCTCAGTAGGGAGGTGCGAGAGGCAGCTGATCAATGATTCTTTTTCATCACTGATGTTTCTATCTATCTCTCCCTCTCCCTTCCTCTGAAATCAATAAATATATAAATTTTTAAATGGGGTCATGCTATATATGTGTGTTACAATGAGTTTTTCACTTCAGGGATCACTAATGTCTTTCCTGTTAAAACCATACTTAGAGAACATTATTTATTTATTTATCATTCATTTTAATTGATCTCAGATAGAAGAAGGGAACGAGAGAGAAACATTGTTCCATTGTTTCCCACATTCACTGGACTGGGTATTGAATCTGCAACCTGGGCATGTGCCCTGACTAGCAATTGATCCACCACTTTATGGTATATGGGACAATACTATGCTGGTACCCTGACTCCAAATTCCAGCCACCAGAACTGTGAGAAAAATACATTTCTGTTGTTTAAGCCACACAAATTTATGATATTTTGTTATGGCTGTCTGAGCTGACTAATCCTATATAATACAAGGCTAATATGCAACTTGTCCCTTTGGGAGTTCAACCGGAAGACCAGGAGTTTGATCGCTCACTATGACATGTGCTGACCACCAGGGGGTGGTGTGAAACATGGCAGGCGACCAGCAGTGGTGGCGGGGTATTGAGGGAGCGAGGGAAGGAGGAGGCGGGGAGGCCAGGATGCAGGGAACCATGTGGTGGTGGCGTGTGGGCAGCGAGGGAAGGATGAGGCAGGGAGGCGGGGAACCTGATCAACCCTAATTACTGGCCAGGCCTAGGGATTCTACATACTGTGTATGAATTTTGTGCATCGGGCCTCTAGTGTGTGTGTGTGTGTGTGTGTGTGTGTACTAGAGGCCTGGTGCATGAAATTCATGTGTGGGGGGGGCCCTCAGCCCAACCTGCACCCTCTCCAGTCCGGGAGCCTTCAGGGGATGTCCTACTGATGGCTTGGGCCCATTCCCCGTGGTTCTCTGCTCTATGCGGGGCCTGCCTCCTCCACACCACGGCGACGGCTAATCAGGCCCTGCTGGGTGCTGTCTGCAGCCGCGTTTGCCTGCTTGTGGGTCGCTGCGGTGATGGCCAAGCGGGCCCTGCTGGGTGCTACCTGTGGGCACACTTGCCTGCTGGGCTCATGTTGCCGGGGTGATGCCTCCAGTGTTCTGCCCTGGCTGCTATGGGTGCCGCCATCTTTGTTGCAGAGTGATGGAGTGATGGTTAATTTGCATATCTTTTATTAGATTATTTTATATATATATATCTCACCCACCATTTCAGTGACATTGCCTTTAGAACTCAAATGGGCTCAGTATTTGGCAAAACTTCAAACTGGGGATATATGTAATATTTAAGATGATGTAAATATAAATGGTTAACAAAATCTGATGCAATATCATTGTACAGACTTCCAATATCTCTGAGAAGCTAAGCATTTTCTCTACTATGGCAAAGAATGCCACTAAGAGGATCACTTTTCTTCCCTTGCTTGATGTATTCAATTGTTTCATTCAAGGGAACTTCAATGAAGTTGAGTATTCTGTGAACTCTAAGGTAAGACATGAGCATGGGACAAAACCAACCCACAACTATAAATATTTCCTCTCAGCAAACTTGCAAATAATCTGATCTTAACAAATTCAAATCCTAGTGTGTTTTACTTATACTTTCCTATATCTGGATTTTTTAAAAAATATACATGTTACATGGTTAAAATATGTGAGAATTATGTAGTACATAATTTATGTAGTACAGAAAATACATATTGAAAAGCTTTGGGTAAAACCAGTTTTGTTAATTCTTATAATTTAAATGTATTAAAGGATGTAATAACATATCCTTTGGTAAAGAAAATGAACACCCATTAATTTATCTTTACGGTTATTTTTTTAAATATATTGGGCCATTTTGTAGGCATTTAACTTTTTACTATATGTGGATTTATTTTAAACCTTCTTGACCACTTGTAATCTGTTCATAATTTTTGGTGGAATCCCATTTGGGTAATGAAATTGAATCTGACCTTTTCAGGTATAATTTTCTGGAGATGCCTAATTTAGAACTAATAGTGTATAATTATATAAAAACACAAGTCCCATTACCAAACAAAAATGACGCGAATTTTATATAAAATACTAAAGGCCTGGGGCACGAAAATTGTGCACAGGAGGGGGGGCCCTCAGCACAGCCTACACCTTCTCCAATCTGGGACACCTTGGGGGATGTCCAACTGCTGCAGGAATCGGGCCTAAACCGGCAGTTGGACATCTCTCTTGCAATCCTGGACTGCTGGCTCCTAACCATTCACCTGCCTGCCTGCCTGATTGCCCCTAACCACCTCTGCCTGCCAGCCTGATTGCCCCTAACTGCCCTCCCTTGTGCGCCTGATCTCCCCAAACCCTCTGCCTCGGCCCCACCACCGTGGCTTTGTCCAGAAGGACATCCGGAAGATGTCCAGTCCAATTAGCATATTACCCTTTTGTTAGTATAGATATTGCATAACTTTTTGCCTACAATTTGTACAACTTGAGATAGAGGGAAATCACCATTTGACTCGGGTTGAAAATTATTTATAGAGAGGAAATTTATTTTAAAATCTATTTGTAAGTAAAAGTTAAAGTAAATATTAAATACTAAAAAATTATACAATAAAAAATAAAAAAATCCAGAATTTAATGGATGCAAACTTTTACATCCATTTCTACTCATTTCTTCCTATCAGAAGCCCATTCTGCATAGAAGTTGGAAAGTTGACTTATTTCTCAACTTTAGTGACAGAGCTTGTTGAACCTGTATACCAAAAATGAACAATGAAAACTGAGGGGGAAGGTTTTTAAATGGTTTCCGGGAAAGGTATGCCTGAGTGTTGCTGTGTGTCAGTATGAGGACAAATTCCTGTAACCATCTTGCCATCTGCCTAAGGATGAGGCTAAGATATGGAGGGGGAGGAGTCAAGAGACTCCAAGAGAAATGGCATTGAAGTTCTGACATATTATACCTTAAGATAAAAGTCTGAATATTTTGTTAGGCAAAATGTCCTTTTCTAGTGTAAGTTGGGAATTTCTGTTACTTGAAGCCAAAGATATCCTGAGTATATTTAATTTGTTCTACCTTTTAAAATGTAGTTTTAAAACACTCTCTTTTCAAACTATTGTTTTTTATCTACTTTTAAAAAATGTCATTAGGAACCATATTTTCCAAATATAATACAAGTAAGCTAATTCTAAATTCTTAACAATTTTACTTCAATAATTCAATTTAGAAGTCTTTAAAATATAATTTGAAAACTTGATCTATATTAGTGGCTTTTCTCAATAATGGTTCTACAATTATGAATAACTTAGAAAAGAAATGCCAGTTCATATGAGAGTTGGTCTTTAAAACATGCAATATGTGTAACTTTATTTAAAAGGGTAGGGGTGGGCTAAAAGGGGTCAATGGGGGAAAAAGGTAACATATATAACACTTTGAACAATAAAGTCTTAAATAAAAACAGGCATTCACTAAAAATGATTCATTTATGTAGATTCCTTTAAATGTTAAAAATGAACTGTATGTTAATAACCACTGACTTTATAATAAGAAAATGCAAGTTCTTTTCAGAAAGAAAAGTGGTCTTTGAAAAATTATAAACCTTAAAAATTTAATAAATAGGAATAATTTTCAGACATGTCTTTACCACTGAAATATTAGACTTTATTTGATGTTTTCAACATGGACTTACAAAAATATTAACAGCACAAAAATACCAATTCTAAGCCACTTTAAATAAAGTTTACTTTTAGCAACGATAAATTTCCATTGAAAAATAAAATGTTAAAAGGCACATTTATTGAATTGGCTGTACATGCAAACAGGCATCTACACAACAAACTTGGCAACGTGTGCGGAAGGGAGGCAAGAGTAGAAGCAGCAGCTCAAGGCATCTCTATGTAAATTAGCTTTTACTAGAATGCTTATCAGAAAAGTGAAGACTCTTCTTATTTAATCAAGGCACTAACACATACAAGATTACATTTTCTTGAAAGAATGAACCTCTACTATCAACTAGGAAAACTTGATATTATCACACACAATTTAGAATGAGCAAAATTTAAATCCATCAAGAAATTCCACAGGATTATATATATATATATATTATTGTAAGCTGACTTAATTATTTCCTATGGTAAATAATTAAAAATAAGCAAGTTCTACTACATGGAAGATTATTGTGCCATGAAATTATGGTTATAATTCATCTAGACATCTTATATTACATCCTATTAACTCCTTGTGCACATAAGAGAGAACACAGTTCCCTGATATTATTTTGGTAATCCATATATAAGCCTTATGAAATATTGTTCAAATATTTGAACATTTTGATAGACTAGATTATCTAGGAAGAGATGTCAAGGCTTGACACACCCACTACACTTCCCATTCTGTTGCCTGGTACCCTTTCTTAAAAACTCTGTTTTTGAGGTAAATACTTCTCAACACAGTGATTCAGAGATACAATGAATTAGAGCTGGCAGATGAGTTTCACATAGATTCTTACAATAGATCAGTATTTACTGAAACATGTTAGTAGATATTGAAAAGCAAGACATTTTTAAAAGATTTACTATAGTTTGCAGATAAGATACTCTATATATTTATTTTGTACTATTAATATATGAAACAGAAGTTTTGACTATATGGTTACAGAAAATAACTAAGCAGATTAAAAATAGAACAGCAACAAGAACAATAAAACTATTTTCTAGTCACCTTTGGTATGAATAAGTCAGAATTTTAAAAGTAATTATTTAAGTGTAAATAAATAACACTTGCCTCTATTTTCAAAGTGGATTTCAAACAGCAAGTAGTAATAATCAATATAATGAAGCCCTTTTACACTTGATCTTAGCCAAAAGGCCAAGAAGTGACTAAGCCCTTTTTTAAAAAATCCTCACTCAAGGGTATGTATTTCTTAATTAATTTTGAGAGAGAGAAATTGATAGGAGAGAAACATTGATCAGTTGCCTTCTGTACACTCCCAGAACGGGTTTTGAACCAGAAACCTAGAGGTATGTGCCTCAGTGGGAACAGAACCTGCAAACTTTCTTTTGGTATATGGGACGATGCTCCAACCAACTGAGCTACTGACTAGGGATTTTTTTTTTTTTAATAGCCCTTTAAAAAGGATAAAAAGGAGCTAAGTGATATAAATGGAAGGTGGGAGAGAAGGAAAGGTCTGGAAATTGGACTAAAATAAAAATTATGCTAGACAACAGGCTGAGATATAACTTCAATTTATCAGAAAATCAATTAGTGAGTTTCTGATCAATCAAGGCTAAAAGTGAACCTGAATGGGTTACATAGCTCTCATGGTCTTATAAAGGGAGATAAGAGTTCATAAGAATAAAGCAACTTTTACTTTTCTCAACCCTGAGACATTGTCACTACACGGAACCATAGAAAACAGACACTAAAGCATAGTTGTTAAGCATAATTTCTATGTTCTCTCTCTCTATATTTATGTATATATATGTGACTTCTATAATATAGCATATCTGATAAACACTGAAGGCATAATATTAAGCTACATAGGTATGAAGAGAATTAAGACTAGCCAGATTTTTGTCACTTACATTGATACAGCTTTATAAATTAAGGAATGTTAGAGTTAAGGTTTTACTATTCAAGTCACAATTTTGATAGCTAGCAAGCAACTGAATTAGTCAACCAATGGAAAGAATAGCAATATATCCTATAAAGTAGTTTTGTAAGCAACACTAAAATCTTCCATCATTAATTTCAGCCATCAGAAAAGAAATCATGCCAGGATATAAATTTAAAAGAATTTCAGCTCTTACTAGTACTTTAAACATTAATTCAAAATGAAATTAGATAATGAATTTGTACTAGTCATTTTTAAAATTTTGGTTCCTTAAAAAAAAAAAATTCTCCTTGTAAAGTAAATTACTTTGCCATCCTTAGGCAAAATAAATATTTTGAGCATATTTATTAGAATAAATTAAAGCTAGTGATTTTATTAAAATAAGAAAAAAATATGCAGTATACTCAATTACCTCACTTCAGTTGGTTCAAAATGTAAAATAAAAACATCTAATTATATCCATTGCTCAGAATACATCAAAATCAGAAAAAAAAAACACCCAAGAATGTCATGAAAAGGTATGCCTCTGTAAAATGAAGCAACCTTCTAAGATTCATTAATTTTTCTGCAAACAAAACAAACTTTGTAGACAGAACCTTTTACCACGTAGTTTACTAAACTAAGCTGCCATCACGTGGGAATTAAACTTGACTGAGGACAATTCAGAGATCACCATCATTCCTGCACCTGTTGCATTCACTGGCAGATGGAATAAACCTTTCTCTCCTAGGCCCTTTGGGCCAGGGCGATGTTAATTGGCTTGGAGCCCAACAGGCAGCCATTCATCTCAGCCATTGCTCTAGCAGCCTCCTCTGCAGAGGAGAAGCAGATCAAGCCAAACCCTCTGCTTCGTCCTTCTTCCTGCATTACCTTCACTCTGATAATTGATCCAAACAAAGAAAATGCTTTCCGTAGTTTTTCTTCATCAATGGTCTCATCGAGGTTCTTAACATAGATTTTCGTTCCCCTGACCCGCCAAGATCTTTCCTGTTTCCGCTGCTCAAACAATTGCTTTAACTCAGCTTGTCGCTCTGCTTTCTTTTGTGCCCGGCCTACAAATACCTGCTGTCCGAATATTTCCCTCCCATTCACTATGTCAACAGCCCTTTTGGCAGCCTCATGGGTATCAAAACTCACAAAGCCAAAGCCTTTGGATTTCCCACTGGAATCTGTCATCACCTTAACACTCACGATTTTGCCATAATGGCTGAAAAATTCCTTCAGCTTCTCATCATCCATCTCATCTCCAAAGTTCTTGATGTAAATATTGGTGAACTCATTGGCTTTATTTTGGAGCTCAGCTTCCCGATCTTTGCGGTTTTTAAATGGGCCAACGAAGAGCCTAAAGTCCTTAAGCAGCATCCCATTCATCTCCTCAATGGCCCTGTCGGCGGCAGCCTGGTTCTGAAAGTGCACAAATCCATAGCCCCTGGAGCCCTGATCATCACACATCACCTTAGAGGACAGGATCTTCCCAAAAACTGAAAAATGCTCATAAAGCGTTTTGTTATCAATGGATTTGTCCAGATTCTTGATGAACACGTTCCCGATTCCAGATTTCCTTAAGTAGGCGTCGCGTTGAGACCACATGAGCCTGATGGATTTCCCTTGTATCACGTCGAAGTTCATGGTGTCCAGGGCTCTCTGGGCATCAGCCACGTGCAGGAAGTTCACATAGGCATAGCCCAGGGAGCAGCGGGTGACCAGGTCCCTGCAGATGCGGATGGACAGCACCGTTCCCACGGTGCTGAACTTCAGGAACAGCATGTTCTCGGTGACATCTGGAGGGAGGTCACCCACATAGAGGGAGGCCTGGCGGTACTTGGCGTCTACATCCATGTTGCTGGGCCCTGATGGGGAGCGCTGGGCCCTAGGAGCTCTCACAGATGATTCCTGCAGGAGGGTGGCTAGGCCACAGCTGGCTGGGCTCACGCGCGGTGGCCTCTGGATCGCCACTTAGAGTTGGAGAGATGGGGCTCAGGGACAGCTTCCCTGATGGGGCTAAGGCAGCAGGCTCATCAAAAGGCCCCGGGCAGCCCACCAGGCCCCTCCGTGGAAAGCTGCGACAGAACTTTCAAATCTCAGAGAAGGCTGGCAGGAGGAGACGTCCCTTCCCAGCCAATGTGCGCAAAAGCTTCAGGTGGCGGGCTGGCCCTCAGTTCCTGCGTTCCGCACGGACACGCTGGTGGCTGGTTTCCGAATCAAAACAGGCCTCGCTCAGGCTGGTTTAGAGTTACAGCCGCGGGAGAGGAGCTCCACAAGTGGCCTAGGAGGCCGCGGTCCGGGACGCGCGGCGCGGGGCCAGGCCAGAGCCCAAGCCGCCGGGACCGGGTTCTGCAGGCGCCGCGGCCGCGCTGCGGCAGGGAGTACGCGGGCCCGCCAGCCTCGGATCCGCAGACCCCGCGCGGCCCCCCCGGCGAGGGCGGATGGGGAGTGGGGAGGCGGACAGAACGCCGGACGCAGGGACGGACGCGGCCCGGCAGGCAGCGGAACAGGGTCGGGGGGCTCACCCGTGTGCGGCCGGCGGGGCGGGCGGGAAACCCGGAACTCGCGCGCTGAACTTCCCGCGCACTCGCTGCCAAGGGGGCTGTTTTCTTTTTAATATATTTTGCGCGTGTTTTTCTTCTTGCCCGCCCTCTCACTCATTTCCCACCCCCACCAGACAGGCTGAGAAGCAGGAGGCGGTGACTGGGGTGGAGAGAGGCAGCCAGGGGAGGGGCCCTCATCACCCACCCGCCCGCACCCACCCGCCCGCAGCGCTGCGCAGGGTCTGACTGCAGAGCTTTTCCAAACGTGGAGCAGGGCCTGTCACTTACAAGCTGAAAACCCTCCATTGGCTTCCTTCCTTTACAGGCGAAATTCCAACATTTGCACCTTGTTCTACACAATTCTGCAGGCTTGCTGTCATGTTCCAGCCTCAACTGCTGCTGGGTTCCCCTTACTGAACTACATGAGACACTCACCTTTTTTCTCCCATAGCCAATGCAGCAAAAATATGTTCCTCTGAAATCATCTGGATCCTTTTTTCCAAATATCAGTTTTCCCTAAACAACTTCTCAAAGTTTAAGCTTCCCTCTTAGAAACATATACCACCATAGCGTTTGTCTAATTACAATCTAGTCTATCGTACCTTCTGTGACAGTAGGGACCATGTTCATTTTATTTCCAGGCCTGGCCAGGGACGTTTAGCAATGGGATGCTCAACATTTATTGAATGAATGGACTATGTGAAATAGATGAGGTATTTAATCTGAGGCTGGTTTTCATGCTCAGAGGCATGGAGATAGTGTACCTCATCTCAGAAAGCATTGTAAGGGTTAAATGAGTTACTAGATCTGGAAATGTTTAACACAATATATGGGACATACTAACATTGGTTTCATTTCCTTTAGCATTAAATAACTTCCTTAACATCATTCACACAAAACCTTAAATTTTTAATGATAATGCATCTTTTAAAATGTTACCTGCAAAACTGAATTGGGCAGATTGGTTTATATAAGGCTAATCTAGTGTTTTTCAATTTTCATTCAACATAGGAATTATCTGGGAATCTTGTTTGAAAATAGATTCTGTATCTTGGAAATTCTACATTTCTAAAAAGGTCCTGAGAATGAATTCTCTTGTTGTCTGAACTACCCTGAGTATCAAGACCTCAAAGCTGAATGAGTGAGCCCCTCACAGTGGCATCTTTTCTAATGTAAGGCTAGAAAAAAAAAATATTTCTCTTTGAGAAATAAGGATACTCTAGTAAAATTCATTCTTAGTAATACACCAAACAAAACCCCACTAAACATGCATGATTTTCACTATAAAATCCACATTGCTTTTAACCTATCTAAAGTTGAATAATGGGTCTATGATTCTTCCCAAATTAATCATAATGGTTTCATGTTTGTGAAATCTATTCTGATATGTGTTGCTCTTGCAGGATCATTTGTTCAAATAAATAAATTGAGTAATCTTTTTTCCAACCATGTCTTCTGGGCTACAATTTGTAAAAGGAAGAAGGACCACTGACATGGTGCATATTAGCATCATTCCAACGCATACTTTAAAAATTCAGATACTATTTGGCATTATTTAAAACACATAAAAGTAATCACCATAGTCAATATTATGTACAATTTTTTAAAAAGAAAGTTCCTAAGTGTGTATTTCCTGAGAACATTATCTCAAGACTTGATTTCTAAGAAAAACGCCCAAGAGCACGGTAGTTCCTTGTACAATACTTCAGCCATAGCCAGATACAAACATATTTCAAGAACTCTTAGGCTTTTCATTTTACTTTAGTGTGATGTTCACTCACATTTTGTGAAAAGTGAGAGAGGTTCCAAATTCAGAACTGTCTTATATTCTGTCTCTAATCAATTTATGTGCAGCGGGTATAAACCTGAATTTGTTAAACGACCACCACTCATGCTATGCTCCCCTTTACTCAGCATACTGTCTTTGTTTTTATATTTTAACAATGTAAGCATTTTTAAACATCCATGATTCTACCCTCTCTTTAAATCTCTAAATCTCATCTTTTTGTCATTTGTGTTCATTCAGTAATTTCTTAATGTGGGATGCTTTTACATTTGCCTCCCCGCCCCCCTTCTTCCCATGCCACTGCCTTGGGCTCATTTCCTTGCGTATTACCACATGAGTTTTATTTATTCATCTTCTTTATCTACATGCCAGACCCTCCTGCATTTTGCTGCCTGAATAATTTTACTAACATTTCTTTCATAGTATTTGATTTAAAAATAACAACTGACTTTCAAATTTTTGCAAAAGTCACTCCTAAACTAACTATATATATCTTCTGTCAAACTAATCCTTCATTTGTTCTAAATGTACATGCAATTATTGCTTTTTAAAAAATATCCTTTCCCTGATTATCAAATTCTATCACCCTTCAGCCCACTTTTCTCCAATGTTTATTTTCTCTCTCAGTAATTCTGACATACTAACTTTTCCTTTTCTCAAACTATTTAACATATTCATATGTAGTTATTCCCTAACTTTTCAAAAGTTCACTTTATGCCACTTAGCTTTTGGGAAAGACCTACATTAGTACCCATTTTCATTAACCCAAAGAAATACCAAAAAGATATTTGCTTTTATGGAAAAAAAGGCAAAAAGTGGAGATAGCCATTAGCTTTGATTTGCAGTGAGATGTTACCAGGGCAGCACCACACTCTTTCCCCAGGAACTAAGCTCAGCATCTCAGCATCAAGCCCCACAGCTCTGGACTGTGTGTGTGAGCATCTATGCTCTATCTCGGCTTATTTTGTGCATCATTCATTAGCAAGATGTGTCCTAAAGTAATTGCTCTTCACTTTATGCCATTTTGGCTTTCGCCAATCGGGAGGACTGTAGCTAATTTTGTGTTGAGTTCAAGGCTTTGATAACCCTTAACTTAAATTGTTGTAGCTTTGTATGACTTGCATGTCTTCTTAATTCTTGAAGTATTCCAAAAATATTTCAATTAATTGCCAATATTTTGCCTCATTTTGAAATAAGTTATAATTTTGCCCACCTCATATTTTTAGCTCAATTGCCTTTCAATTTAAAAGTTTGTTACATGGATGGTTCACAGATACAAGAGGGAGTAAGATGTTTTGCTTAAAGGACTGAGAACTCTATTCACTCATATTGATGTCAATGAAATGAGTAAATAGTTACTTTGAGTATGGACATGCTTTTGAAAATAGAAATCTATTGTACTAATTAGACCAAAGTAGTTTCTGAAGTCTACTTAAATCATTGCTGTGATATAGTCAACTATCTGTGAAATTGTGCTAGGCAATAAGACTATAGTGATTACTAAGACACAAGTGGTGGTGGGAAACATTTAGAGATCCAATCTTATTGTCCTGAGATGAGTGCCCAAAGAACCTTCATTTTATCTCTTTGCCCTTCCTACCTGGCTTGTCCCCTTCTCTGTCCTTGCTCCAGAATTCGGACTCATCTTACTGTCTGTCCCATATTATCAAAGCCAGCACAACTGTTCACCCTGTCTTCTCAGATTCTTCTGAGTTGGTTTCTACAAAGCAATCAGACTCTCTATATCCAGTGTTGATCAGTTCTCCTAACAAATCCATTGTATTACTGGGCCAAAATTTCTTTAACCTCACCACAGTAAAGAACAGAAGCAGTGAAAGTCTCAGAGAATCCCTTTTCTTGGAGAGCATTCTTTATTGATGTGCCATTCAAAAGAGTCCTATTTGCTCTAAACTTGATGAAGAGAGAGGAATTGAGGACTATCATCTACTTTTCATACCAAGGAAGATCTAGCATCTTCTATAGAGAGGTTCATCTCATGACTAGTCATTCAGACAGGGGTGATTTTCTGACACCCACTATGGGGAAATGTTTTCTACTTCAAACAGAAATCTTTCAAAGGGCTAAAAATAAAAACTAAGGCAAAATGACCCTTAAACTTAGGTGGTGAGTATATGTAGATGTTCACTGAATTATTTTATTACTTTTATATATGTTTAAATTTTTCCCAATAAAAAGTGGAGAATAAACTACAGTTGGCCCTCCCTATTCATGGTTTCCAAATTTTCAGATTTGACCAACCACTTACTGATCAAAGAGATCTTTCCTGCTCATCATTTTAGTATTTACCAGTCTACACTGCAGCCCTTAGCATTAGTCAGCCAAATACCCACTAAGAAAACAGTTTGCCAGGTTCCATAGGCATAACCTCAAAAGTCTTTGCATTAAGATCTATGGCAGTCAATGCAGTAGAGAAAGTGGTACAAGACTGACAGGGTTATAGGAAATTGATCTTTTAGGTAACATTTCTCCTTCTCCTTCTCTTGAACCTTCATGTATATCCCTGAAGAGGAGTCTTATAAAGTAATGCAAGCAAACTGTTACCAGCATAGAGTAGGTAATTGCCTCCTCCTTGTCCTATACCAGGTCCATTTCTATAACTGGGTAAAAATGTTTTATGACTCAACAACTTTTCTGCCTGTTTCTTGCTCCTGGTTGCATCTGGCAAACTCTAAATACCCTGAAAGGTCTTCTAAATATAGATATAAAGTCCCTCTCCTGCAGTTAGCTAACTTCTGTCTTCAAAGCAACATCTTTTCCTCAGGTAGCAATTGCTGAGATCTGACCTTGGTGTGTAATTGCATTTTCTGATGCTTGCTATTATGCCAAGCTGCCAGAACAACTGGTCAATTAGGGTTTAGGAGCTATCTTTCCGTTTAGCTACTTGCTATGTGATAGCCTCTCTACCAATCCCATTACCATATATATAACTATTTTTATCAGTCACTCCTCCAACACACACACAAACATACAAACACACAAACACACAAACACGGGAAACTACAGGTGAGTAACTGACCAGCACTCACGCTTTACTGTCTTGATTAAATTTGAGGATGGTGAGCCACTGGAGAATAAATCACAGAGTCAAAGAAATTTTGTAACCCCCACTACCCTCAAAAACCCCTATATTAGACCAAGATGAAAACTTATGCGATATTATTATGACAATAGAGCAGCAAGTGCCTCAGATTAAGGTGAATTGTGTTAAAAAAGTTACTGCTCTATGATTAAAGCTTAAGTTGGCTACAGCACATGAACACAGCAGCTCTGTAGCAAGTAACTTGGCTGT